ATCTTTATAACCATAACACATCTCATGTTCATGTTCTATTTGTTTTTCATGCATTTTTCTAACTTCTTGTTCGAACAAAGGTTTAGCATTCTCTACTGTATCTTCGAGTTCTTCTTCATCTAATTTCTCATGAACTTTCTTGTCTATGGAGTCCATAATTTTTCCAACTGCTATGCAATATTTTGGAGAAGCCCACATTGCTATATAGTTTATAAGTCTTGGGTCTGCATACGTTCCTCTAACCTGTTTGATTTCATCAGGAATTCCTGCATGAATTTTGTATAAAAAGCAACCGCCGGAATTCCGCGGGTTGGTATATTCTTCACAAAATGCCTTAAAATACTCTTCCCAGGACTTATTTTCCAACAACCTTCTAAAGTCTTTCCTAAACTGCTGACACATATTTGTTGCATTTATATAACCATCCTTGTCTCTACGTAAGACTTCAATACCGTTGTAAGTGCCTTTTGTGAATGTTTCGCCATTAGATTTGTTCGTGAACGTTTTTGCTTCGACTGTCATTTCAGTTCTTACAATAAAAATAAAAAATATTTTTGGGTGGTACGTCGGACATTCGTTTGTGGCTTAACCGTCGGACATTCGTTTGTGGCTTAACCGTCGGACATTGTCTTGAAACAGTATAAGACTAGTTCTGAGATCTCACCATCTAACCTAAAATATATTTTTGCCGAAAAAAATGAGTTTTGGTTGAAAAATACGGTGAACCAAAAGTGGCTCGACCTCAAAACAAGCATTTTGTGAAGAATATACCAACCCGCGGAATTCCGCGGGTTGCTTTTTATACAAAATTCAACGGGTGAAAGAATACGATGAAGAAGTCATGACAAAACATTTACGTACATGTTTGACAAAACATTTACGATGAAGTTTATTTCCTGGACTGTTGTCTAAATGTCATGTTGTCACACTTTTTCAGAGAAGTTAAAATGACCGAGGGACCGAGGGACCGAGGGACCTGGTGACACCTAAAAACCATCTACCCTAAAATATATTTTTCAATACTTTTTCAGCACTTTTCCGTAGTTGTATATGAAAGACAATTCGAGATAAAAGTCATAGTATAATGGTATAATATGCTGCACACCATTTGTTGTGAACCAAACTTGAAAGTCAGAGAAACTGTTACTAGGTGGTTCGTAGAATTTAGAAGCAAAGTCATAAACGTCCTTACCAATACATAGAAAACTATTGTTGCTTGAACTGAAACTTGCATGACACATAACATTTTGAGGGTCAAACACGTTTCTATAAACTGTCAAATCTGCTGGTGGAAGTATAAATTGAAATGGACCATCTGGTGGTAATGGTTCGTTCTGGTTTAGTAACCGAAGAAATTGTGCCCAAGAACGTTTGTCTACTCCCCAAAATAAAAACTCCGTATCTCTTGGAGGGTTAATTTCAATCTTTTGAAATGAAACGGTTGAGTTCATCTTGTCATATTCTAGTTTCAGATAGTATGTTCCATTTAGTAAAGAGGCGTATTTTTCTTGAAATTCCCAATAGTATTTGTTTATTTGAGTTTGAAAGTCATTTAGAGTTTTCTCAAGACTTTCGTCTGAACGAACTGTAAAGATTCTCATTTCATCAAATTTGTCTATAAGACCATCAGAACCTTTATACTGCCCATGAAAATATACTGCGAACATAAATGCGTTAGTTCTATTTGAAAACAAAACTCTTCTAAATCCTATTGCCTTTGCATCTGAAGGACTTTGAAGCCAACGAATTGGATAGTCAAACCTGTAAGCTCGGGATGAAATTTCTTCATCTGAAATAATCCTACCAGCATTTGTAAAGATATAGTCTAACGGTTTTGTATCTGCTACTTTTGTTCTTTGTTTTTCAACCTGAAGCATTTAATATATGTAAAAATATATGGTTTTAAAAAACCTTTTTACTTCATATTTCTCATCTAACAAACATGTTGTCTGACTGCTTGAGGGTTATGTTGGTATCGTTCGAACTTGACACTTGCAATTCCTTCAATTGCATTCAAAATGTCTGAGTCCGAGTCAGCCATTTGTTCTCTCTTTGTAGTCTTGAAAGCGTCAAGAAGTTTTGCAGCTGTTGTGACATTGCCATTTGCATAGTAAATGTGACCATCCAAATCTGTTATAGTTAATCTGAGATTGCGTCCTTTCTTATTTCCGTCTTGTATGGCAGCAAGTACACCCATGAAGCCTTCTTTGTTCTTTCCTTCGTCAAAGTTTACTGTAAAGGTTCGACCGGATGTAATTTGACTTCTAACTTCACGGTACTTCTCATATGCATATCTTGTTCTTTCCATGGGAGCATGTGTGTCTTCACCTTTTCCTTTTTTCCTTCTCAAAGGATGCAATTGTTCGTCATGTTTCCAGTAGAATCTGGCAAAGCCGTCGTGTCCTTCAACTTGAGGTTCACTAACATCGAAAGCATGTCCATAAGACGTTCTTCTTCTAACCTCTCTAGTCTGTTTGGATAATTTGCACGTGCTGTTTCCAAATCCATTTCGTAGCGAAGACCAGACAATTTGTCATAGACTTTTATGGTCTTCCCTTCCTATATTTAAAATTCTTCGAAACTCTCCAACCATAACTTTGCAACTCTGCTTTTATTCTAGCAGATTTTCTATCCATTCTATATGGGGGCATTTTTATAAAAATAAAAAAATATTTTTTTCTTTACTTTACATAACCACCTGCTGCCATAAGTCTTTGACGCCAACCCATACCAGCTAATGAAGGTTGACTTGGTTTAGTTTGGAAACTAAACTTTGGTTTTGGTTTATCTTCAGTTTTTGGTTTTTCTTCTTCTATCGGTTTTTCGTCACTTTTCGGTTCTGCTGACTTTACCTCACTTGCAGGAATAGTTGTGTCGTCAACATCTTCATAAATATCATATGCCATTTGTTTTGTTTTCCTTTCAACTTTTTGTGTTTGTTGTAAAGTTTAGAATATTTGACTCTAAGTCAATGAGATGTTCTATAATGAACTGTTGGTCAGTGAAGTAAACTTTTCCATCTGTTGTCTCGAAAGCTCCTTCAGACTTCAATATTTTATTTGTGAGAGTCTGTTTCTTTTTTGAGATACTAGCCGTTCCATTTTTATGAAAAGTGACTTTGTAGTTAGGGTTTGTATTTCCAGACCTGGCACTTTCTATTATTGAATTTTTCTCTTCATCTGTAAGTTCTTTGACAGGTTTTGACAATGGTTCTGAACTTTTTGTTTGTGGTGTCAAATCTACCGTTTCAACTTCTTCGGTCATTTCATCTCAGTAAAAAATTTTAGTTTGGTTTGTTTTCAACTGGTTGTTGTTGTTTTTTAAGTCGGTCTAAAACTTCCTGAGGTATAGGAAGAACTTGACAAACACGTTGTGTAACTGCTGGAAGCCGACAAATCCATCTTGAACCCATTTGTCTCAATGCTGTATTGTTCATTTCATCTCAGTAAAAAACTTTACATTCCCCACGTTTGAGGCGGTTGAGGTTGTTATTGTTTACCCACTGTTGTGCATGGTTATATCCTCTGTTAAAGAATCTTTCACCTTGGTCCATATAGTGTCCTGCTTGGTTATAGTAGTCATTTGCTTTGTTATAATAGTTTCCTGCTTGTCTTCCTACATTGTCCATCCATCCTTGAACTTTTCCTCTTGTTTCAGGATTTGGAATAAGATTTGTTGCATCTCGTGCTACATCCCAACCTTTCTGTACAGTTTGTATAATAGGTTGTGCTTTCTCTTTAAGTATACCTAATGTACTCAAAATCTTCCTTCCAACTCCAAATACACCTCTGGCTATTGTTCCCACTGCGGGTAAAAATCTGGATGCAACTCCTGCTAACGCGCCAAATAAACCCATTTCTTATGGGTTAAAAAATGACGAATCCAAACAAGGACCCCTATGTTTCTAAGCAACAAAGAAAGCACTCATGGTAAAAATCTTTAGTTCAACACCAAATGCTTGGTTTATGGATATCTTGGAAAACATTCCGAGAGTTAGAACAGATGGACCACCATACTGGCTAATATTTGTCGGTCAAAACACAAGATACTGTGAAGCCATACCATTATGGTCCAAAAATATTTTAGATGTGAAAACTGCTTTGACAATATTCGTTGACAAATACCATCCAACAAAACTGACATCTGACTGTGAAAGTTCTTTCAAATCAGACGATATTAAAAACTATCTGCGTTCAAAAAATGTAAACCAATATTTCATTGTCGACCAAAACCATTCTGCTCTTGGTGTCATTGACGGTTGTATAAAAATGTTAAGAGACTTAAACCAACCACAAGGTGGTGAAGCAAATGAAATGTCATATGACGACAAATATAGACACTTCTCCCAGGCAAAGATGAGACAAGTTTTAAATATTTACAATAACCGTAAACAAAAAGGTTTGGGAAACCACTCCCCCGAAGAAATGAAAAACAACCCTGACTTAGAGAAAGACTATATATTTAATAATTTAGTCAAAAGAGACAAACAAGAAAGAATGCCGGGCTTCAAACTTCAGAAAGGAGACAAAGTAAAAATAGAAATACCTAAACGCGACCCATATGAAAATACTATTGACTATGACAACAATGGGAACCCGACAGGTACTCACATTCGTGTTCGTAAAAATAGAAGAAAGTATACAAGAGAATATTATGAAGTTTTAGGCAAACATGGCAAAATGTACAGACTGCAAGCAGAAGATAAAACTACTATTGTCAGACCTCGTTTCAAACTTGTCAAAGTTCAAGGTGGTATACTTTCAAAGACAGTTCCTAACAAATATAAGACAACTCCTGACGAATATGCTAAAGAAGTTGAAAATGACGACTAAGCAATTCTATACCATGCGTAAACTGTCATGTAAGGTGGCATGTAGTCTTTACTTTGTCCGGTTGTTTGCGTATATCCTGAAACGCGATGTGTATGGTTTCCATCTCCCTGAGTGTTACCCCAGAAACAATTTATAGCAAACTGAACTTCGTCTTTAACATCATATCCTTTACCTTTTTTCATTGCTGACCAATCCCAAAATCTATGCTTATGCCAACCTGCTTGAGATGTACTTAAATCTATGTAGTGACTGTGTGCAGGTAAATTTTCACCTGAAATCGTTTTACTTCCACCTGTTTCCTTTGAAGAGTTTGCACAATACAAAAACCTGTCGACTATTTGTTCCCATGCACCAACACCAAACATTACTTGAGGACCTCTTGCTTCCATAGATGTATAAATAGAACCTACTGGGTTCATTAAATCAAACATATGAGATATTATAGGATTGTCTCTTTTGAACTTAAAATATAGTGCAACCATTTCAGGTTTCTTCTGGTTTGTGTCAGAATATTTTTTATAATATAATCTTATGTTTTCAGGGTAGGTAAAATCTTGACTATAATATTTATTTCTGTCATCTTCAAAATAGTATACTATTCTCGTTTTTTCTATTGCATTATATCTTTTATATCTATAAAAATCTAAATATAATGTTAGCTTTTGTTCATCTACATGTGGTGTTCTGTTGTCATCTCCATAGTCATAATAGTATGGTGCTGGAGCTGGGTCAGGCAATGTCATATCTGTCATTTCATAAACTCGGAAATATTTCTTTTGTTCGTCTCCATATAAGTTTAAGTAGCAGTTGTTGTCTAATGGAACTTTAACTTGTGTACCATCGTTCTTTTTATAGCTTACATACATTTCATTGTTATTTTTCGGAATGAGTTTATACCGTATACCATTTTTTAAGGAATGTACAAACTGCCATCTAAAATATTTGTTTTCTTCATTGACAGAAAAGTCACCAACCATAGTTTCAATATTTTTTGTTCCAACTAAACTTTGGTATATTTCATTGACATATGTTTTATCTGCTTTCTTTTCAAGGCTAACGTTTAAGTCTGTTATTTCAGAAGATGTATGTGTATGTCCAATGTCACTTTTACTGTTTAAGGTTTCTTGTAAGTTTGCAATATTTGCAATGGTATGTGTATGTCCAACGTCACTTTTACTGTTTAAGGTTTCTTGTAAGTTTGTAATATCAGATATAGAATGTGTATGCTGTTTTTGTGGATATGTTCCTTCTGTCCATTTGAAAATATATTCTTTTGTTGCATCTACATATCCAGCTATCCATGTCGAGTCTGCTTTTGTATTCCTTAACTCTGTAACACCTTTCTCAAGCTCTTTCAACTGTTGTCCATCTTCCATTAAAGCTCTGTCATGACTTGAAACCGTTTGTGCCAACATATCTACAGTTTCTTTGTCAGCTTTATTTTCAACGTCATCTTTTGTTGCATATGTTGCATCTGCTCTTTCTTCTTCTTTTGCTATTGCATCGTCTACATATGTTTTGTCTGCTTTGTTGTCAACATCTGCTTTCAAAAGAAGTTCATTTATAGGTTTCTCGTTTAAAGTTCCTTTTGTTGGATTTATACAAACAGTATGGTTCTTATTGTCTTGAAACAGAAACTCATCTGTCATTGGGTTTAATGTCAGTTTTAAGTTTCCTTCTTTCAATGACTCAGATATCTTAGAATAGTTTGAAAAGTTTGTTGTGTTCTTATTTAGAGCTTGTATAATGAGTTGTCGGTTGTGTTGTATTTCTCTCATAGACGCTGTTTCATTTGACATTTTTATTCTAGATAAAATATGCTTTCAATAGAAAAAGAAAATTCAAGAGTTGCTACAACTAAACCATTAGATGAACTTTTTACGAATGTCGGTCAAAAGTTTGAGACAGAGACCGTAAAGCATGAAGGCTATCGTTTTGACTACCCGTTAAGATGGTTAAGAGACCCATCTGTCACAAAAGCTATTGGCTTTCGTAGAATGAAGTTCATTTCAGAAGCCATACATGGTTTCCCATTTACAGTCGGTTTTGAAGTTCGATACTATAACAAAGAAAAACGTATGTATGAGAAATTTGAACAGGGAAAACTTTTACAAGTGAATTTGCTTGTAAACTTAGAAACAACTCTTCAAGCTTTTCAAGAAAAAATAAACGACATCTATATCGAATATGCAAACCAGTATAACATTGACGAGGGAGAGTACCATCTCGATATTATATATGACAGGAAAAATGCAACTGTTAAAATCAATAGAATAGAAGACCTTGGAGAAAACGTTTATATTTCTACAAAATATAACAACTTGGCATGGTATAGATTTATGAGGATGTTAAATCAGCCTGCAGAATATCCAGTACACCCGGACTTTTATGAAGTCGAAAACCCTAATGGAACATATGAAAATGTTTTCGACTCAGATGCTATTATAGTTCATGCTTCATTTTCTGGTGCACAAAACTCTTTTTTATGCTTGGCAAATGACTTTTACGAAAAACCTACAAAGCTATATGAACCACCAAGTGGAAGTATTTCAGACTTTCAAGTATGGTTTACAACAGATGGAAGAAAGAGAATAGTTCCATTATACCATGCGTTTTACTTAGAACTTAGTTTCATATACAACTACTATCGAACGGTAAAAATATAATTTTTTAATACGGTTGAGGTGTTGGATTTGGTTGCCAACTAGACTGTGGTGCAGGTTCAGGCTGTTGTATAACAGGAGCTTGTTCTTCTGGTTCAGGGTCTTTAGGTATAATACCAACGAACTGACCTACTCTTTTACCAATATTTTTGACTCCGTTCCAAATTCCTCTTCCTACGGTTTTTATTCCATTCCATATACCTCTTCCAACATTTCGAAAGAAGTTTCCAATACTACTGAAGAAACCCATTTTACTATATGTAAAAATCTAATGTCCACCTAGTCTCTTACGTTTCCTTCTGAGTTCCATAGCATTTTTTAACTGGAGCTCATACATTCTGTTTCTCCTCTGGTAGAAAACATATTCTGGGTCAACTCCTGTGTTCGCGTCATCCATAAAGTTGTTTATATCCCACTTCAGGGTTTGTATAAAACTCTTTCCATCTCATATTTGCATACCATGGTGGCAAACCTAACGCAGCGTCATTTGACATGGCAGTTTGCATTTGTACATCTGTTGGCACTTGACCATAGTTTGCCATTGCAGTTTGTATTCTAACTTCATTTGGAATATTCTCTGGGTTTGGTTGTCCAGGTTGCTGTGCATTTGCTAAGTTCTGTGCGTCCATTTAATATTAGATAAAAATATCTCTTACGAGTACATATACTGAACATTTACAGGCATTGGTTCATCTTCATATTCTCTATATCTTTCTGCCACGTCAAAGAAATAAATGACACAATGGAAAAAACCTAAAACAAGTAGTCCTATTTCAAACCACATTTACTTACTAGTAAAATTTCTTTGTTATGACACTTTCTCCGGTTTATAGGACCTCTCTCATATTCTATCTTGTCATATCTAAACTCATAGTCATGTATGTCCTCTAACCATCTCATAACGGTTTCCAAACCACTTTTATCGGATGTAAAGTAAAAGCATGGATGGTTATGTAAAACGTCTAAAGTTTCTAAAGAGTCTCTCAAAGTCCAGTCTACTTGGTATTGAAAATCCCATGTGTTATAGAACGGCGGGTCCACTATAAAGAAAATATTTTCCTTGTCTTTATATTTTTCATACAACTCTGTCCAATGACATCTCACAAACTCTATACCCTCAATATATTTTTCTATGTCCTCTTTGAAAACATTTGTATAGTTGAGATATAAAACTTTTGACATAAGTGTTTCAATGTCATGAACTCTTATAGAACCACTATATAATAGTCTAGCAGATATACTATCCCAGTCTATATATTCTGCTTTTTTCAAAACCTCTCTCACAATATTTTTCTTATCTAATGGTATACGTTCCATCTTACCTATAGGTATCTTTTCTTTTAACTCTTTCAATATATTGTTTGTGTCTGGTATATGTTTGAGACGGTCCATATAGTTGTCGAAGTCATTGCATATAATCTTTGAGTCTGGGAATATTGTATGGCACAAATGGGATATATAGAAACTTCCACCGAACAAATCTACAAATGTTAGACCATTCGGTAGTTTCTTAAGTTCTCTCAATAGAATATCTTTACATCTACTCTTATTTCCAAAGAACGGTAACGGCGGTTTTGTAAAATTCATTTATATATAATAATAAAAATGTTTTTACCTGAAAAGTGACAGAAAAGGCTTCTCAAAGTATACTTCCTTGGAACGCCCGTAACTTTTCCTGTAGCGACGATAGACCCTTACTTGTCCGGACAAAGTTATACTAAACATCTTCAGGGCTAGAGGGCACGAAGTGCCTGGAGGCCCCACTACCTTTTTTTTTTTTTTTTTTCATATGGTTTTATGATAGATAAGCATTATATTCCCACTCCTTATATTCGTAAATTTTGATGTTTATCCTTCGCTTTTAAGATCATTGAATTTGATTTTTATATAAAATAGTTATATATTAGAAAATAATATGAGTTTATGTGATATTATTTTTCAGAAGATTTCATTCTATATGCCTATGAAAAGTACTCTCAAAACTAACTTTTTCCTAATTATAATTAAATCTAGAATATTGTATTATGCTTAGTATTATTTCATTTTTCTCATTCAATTTAGAATTTACGAATGTTAAAAAATTGAGAGCTGTCACTTTTGATGAATTTCTGTTTATTACATGGGAAAGAAATAAGGTTAATTAAAAATAATGAAAAATACAAGTTTAAGGTTAATGAAAAGTGACAATGGGCGAGTTTGTCCCCCACTCCTTTAGAGATATTATATTGCATACAATTTTATTAAAATATTTCGATTGAAAACACTCTAGAATGAAATTTGGTCTTCTGGAGTTAACGAAACACTCTAAATAGTCTCAGAAAAGCGAAATAGAACTTTTATGGCTCTAAATGGACAGTATGAGATGGTACGCATGAAATCTTAATCGAAATTTCAATTGGAAATTCAAGATTTATATTAAAACTCATTCAACTGTACAATAAATAAATAAATAAAAAAGTGGTTTATTGAAAAATAAAAAAACCGACATTTTTTTTAATGAAATTTTTATAAAATATTTCAGAAGGTAATAGTCGTGGTGTTGAATTTTCTGCTGATGGTACTATTCTTCTTAGAGCCCCGAAGACGCTTGTTGGTGAATACATTATTCCTGCAAGTTGCACAACAATTCGAGGAGGTAATTCAGCAGATGAAAGTCCGTTCTTCTTTTGCAGAGATAACATCACTTCGATTAGTGCTGAACGTGGGAGTCTACTTTCGAATGTTTGTTACTATTGTTTCGCTAATTCTGCGCTTGTTTCTTGTGACCTAAGTCAGTGCACAAAATTATTAAACGTCAACTGTGCAATGTTTCGCGAATGTTACAAACTAGCCAATGTTCAACTTCCTCCCAATTGCGAGATTTTAAATTATGGTTGCTTTCATGTAACAAAAGCTTTGAAGAAACTTGATTTGCCTGATTCAGTAAAGACAATTGCTGGCTATCATAGCGTATATTTTAGAGTTTTTTCGTGGAGTGGATTAAAACAGATAAAAATTAATCCAACATCTAAATTGACCACGGTAGGAAGCGATTGTTTTGCTGGTTCGCAATTGAAATATTTTTATTTTCCTGAATTTTGCAAAGATGTAACATTTTCTGCCTTCTAAGGCTGTCCTATTATAGAATTCTCCTTCCATCCGAATAATAATAAATTCAAAACAGATGGAACAAGTATATTCAATGGTGATAATAATAAAACCCTAATGTTTGTAAGTTCTGGTTTGACAGGAACATATACGGTTCCTAGTTTTGTGACAAGAATCGAATCCTCGGCCATGAGAGGAGGAAGACTTTCAAAATGTGTCATTGGACCTCAAGTTACATATTTGGGTACGTATGTTTTGTGTGAGAGTAAAATAACTGAATTCGAATTCCCTCCTCAGATGACATCTGTTGCTGAAGCAATGTTTTATGGTTGTCATTCTTTGACTACAGTAAAATTCACTGATTCAATCACTCAGATTCAAAACTATGCTTTCTATGACTGCTCTGCATTGAAAAACTTGGTTTTGCCATCAAAATTAAAGTCAATTGGAAATAATGCTTTTGCAAAATGCTTTGCTCTAGGAATGTTAACACTTCCTGCAGAGTGTGATCAAATAGGTGATGGTGTTTTCAAGGAGATTTCAATAACAATATATTCATTGAATCCTGAAATTCAAATAGATAATTATGTTATGTATAAAAACAATCGTCAGACAATCACAGCGTATCTCGGATCAGATGATACTTCTAATATTATAGTCAACAGCAGCTGCACATTAATTGGATCAGGAGCATTTCAATCAAAGTCATTTGCCCATGTTACATTTGACAATAACGAAATGATTAATATCTCTTCTTATGCTTTTGCCTCATCAACAATCAAATCAATAACATTTCCAGCAGGATTAAAGCAGATTGATCAATATGCATTCAGTGAATGCAAAAGCCTTACTCGTGTATCATTTCAAGGATCACAAATTACAGAAATTCCTGATTATTGTTTCTACGAATCAAAGTTGTCAATAATGGAAAAAGAAATCAACGAGTACAAAAATGATTTTTGGAAGATTTTAGAATTACGCTCTAATTCAGATTTTGATGCAGTTTACAATTTCCTTAAAAAACTTTCAGAAGAAGATGATAAATTGAAAATGTCTATTTCATGTGCAGTTGGATTAAGTGAAATTCAAAATCCAGAAGGATGGACTCCACTTCTTAATGCATGCGTTAAAGGAGATTTACAATTAACAAAATCTCTTATTGAAGGAGGCTGTGATAAAAATGCAGTTACTAAAAATGAAAATAATTGTTTACTTCTAGCATCATACAATGGACATCTTGAAATTGTAAAATATTTAATTGGAATTGGTTTTGACAAGAATTGGCGATCTAAACTTGGATATAATGCAATTCTTCTAGCATCACAAGAAGGTCAACTAGATACAGTTAAATATTTGAAAAGTATTGGTTGTGATGTCAACTCTAAAGCAAATTGTAATGCAAGTTGCATTTATCTTTCATCATGCGGTGGTCATCTTGAAACAGTTAAATATCTTTTCTCAGTTGGAGCTGATCCAAATGAAAGAGAAAATAATGGATGTCCTCCTATAATTATTGCATCACAAGAAGGTCATCTTGAAGTAGTTAAATATCTTATTCAATGTGGATGTAATAAAAATGATAAAACAGATTATAACAGTTCTTCACTTCATTGGGCAGCAGAAAATGGTCATTTTGAAGTTGTTGAATATTTAGTTTCAATTGGTGTCAATCTTAATGATAAAGACAATGGTGGAAAAACAGCACTTGATTTGGCAAAAGAAAAACAATACGAGAATGACAACTACAGAAAGATCGTCGATCTTCTAAATCGATCGGGTGCAAAATAATTTTATCATCAAGAACAAATTCGAATTGAAGAATGAATAAACAACTATTTTTATTACATGAAAAATGGTTTTTCATATATAGTTGCCACTTGAGATATTAAGCATGAAACTCTGACAGAAGTGTGTTCAAAAGGTTCTGAAATTTTTGGAATGTTTCGGTACTTTTTGTGAATAGTTTCGCTGATAAAGAAATTCCATTGTTGAGAATATATACCTTCAGAATAATGGCAAAATTTTCATTCTGCAAAATTTTTGTCAAAAAATATAACACTGAACATCAACCAATCTCTACAAGACAATCAAATTTGAATTAATGAAGCAGCATTGTCAAATAATATATCATTAAACATCAACCAAACTCAATAAGACAATCAAATTTGAATTAATAAGGCAGCTTTTAGTTTGGCAAACCCAAATTTTAGCTAAAAGTGACAGGGGAAAAAACGTTTAGTATTAAAAAAAAGACCGATGAGAGCTTCGTTCGAAATATAGAGGGAACTGAGAATGCGCAACCATTCTCAGGGAATATTGGATGCTATTCCCGTTCCCTCTGTATGGAAAATTGAGGTTTTCAAAGGGAGTTAAAATAATATCAAATTTATACTAATTTACTTCAAAATACAAAAGTATTTGACAGCTAAAATTAGTTACTTTAGCAAGCCTATCAATACCCTTTTACGATTATTGCTACTTTTTCGAAATAAAAGTAAAAACAAATTTATACTAATTTACTTCAAAATACAAAAGTATTTGACAGCTAAAATTAGTTACTTTAGCAAGCCTATCAATACCCTTTTACGATTATTGCTACTTTTTCGAAATAAAATAAATTTATTATCAAAAACCTTTTTTTTCTTAGTAAAAATAAACAAAATTTTTTACCTTATGAACTTTTGATGGAAATATGCAAATTTAAAATAATAAAGAAAGCCGCGAGCGAAGCGATCGGCTTAGTTCGAAGATTTTGATTCAAATCTTTGCTGATCTGTAATTCGCGGAAGCCGCGAGCGAATCGAGCGGCTTAGGTCTAAGATTTTGATTCAAATCTTTGCTTATATTCCTTAAATTCTTTATGAAACTCGCAACAGTTCCATAAAAAATTTTAAATTCTAAACTGTCGAAATTACCGATCGGTAATCACACCCTTCACGGGTGTGTCACTTTTAGCTAAAATTACCCCTACTCGAGAAAAAAAATATAAAAATTATAAAAAAAATATGGGCGCAACAACTTCTTCTCCTGCTGAGATTAAGCAGTTTTGTGATATCATAGAGAACATGAACAAGGAAGATTTTATTGAAAACGAGCCAATTATTCAAGCTGCTGGTAATATTCGCACTCTTAACTGTATTTCAAATGTCGAGTTCCAAAAATTCTATTTAAAGGAACCAAACAACATTATCATGCTTATCATACATTGTATCAATACTTTATACGGTGAAAGAAAGCTGAGAACAGTTTTAGGAGCAGTTTTAATCTTATCTAAGCTTTTACCAGTCATTGGAGTTTCGTACAATGATATTTCAGAGCTTGCATGGCTTCTTGATGGTGAAGAATCAGTTCTTGAAAGATTAATTAAGGCAATAAAAGAAATGTGTTTCCAACCTGGAATTATGATGTCTTCTACAGCTACAGATCCAACAGTTTGGATTTGGGAAAAGCAGGACTTTGATTTCGAGAACTCTAGGTTCGACAGCTTAGCCATTTTAAACTTTGCATGCAGCTACGAATATTTCTTCGAAAATAATCCAGAATACCATGAAAAGATCAAGAAGATCTGCCAATGGGAACCAGAACCAGGCAAATACTTCTTGCGCGCAATTATGGGTGCATTAACTCACCATTTCTCAAGATTCTACCCTCTCGTCCTTAATTATCTGAACTGGGCTCTTAGAAACGATCCGAACATCATAGTTGCTGCAGTTTCATCAAATACTCTTGAAATCTTGATAGATTTGGCATATTCTCAAATAGAAAAGCTCAATTCTCTCATCAGTTTCTCTCCGAATGTCGAAGCCATCGAAGTCGACTTAATTATCGCAATTTTACAAATAATCCTTCATCATCAGAAAGCTAAGTACGATATCAAGAAAGTATTACTCATTATCCTCAGAGCTCTTATTCTCGCTAACGATCTTGGCCACGTTACCACTACACAACGCATTTACCTTACATTACTTCTTTTAGTGACTTCCAACAAGTCCTCCATCGAATTTCTTGCAGAACCACTTACGTTATCCCTTGGTACTAAGAAAGCTCCGCATGGAGACACACTTTCTTTGGCGATTTTGGAAGCAACATTTTATGTCTTTATGAATCCCAAAGGAAAAGAGCTCCGAACACTCTGTTTAGGTGTTATCCATAACATTGCCACTACATTTGTCCAGAGCAAACCAGTTCTTCCTGAAATTATTGTTTCATTAATCCAAAAAACAGGAATTAGAGAGAAAAACGAGACCCAATTCAAGTCCACATGCACAATTGTGTCCCGTGTTGTCACTTTCGGTGAAGATAAGGACAAGAAGAGAGAAGATATCAAGAAATCCATTCTGAAAATCTACGATTTACTTGAAGAGAACCAAAAGAAGTTGTTCGATGAAGTCATCGAGATGAAAGACCTTACAGAAGATTTCCCAATGACGTTGACAAACGTTAAACCTCATTTTAACTGTGTCAGATTCTATTTGAAGCAGTTGTTCATGTTTAGGAACAAGATTTCACTGTTTTCTCTGAAGAAGAACCTTCCTCCTCCAAAGGCTGCTCTTTCCAAACCTGCTCCTCAGAAACAGAAAGCGAAAGAAGTGAAGAAAGAAGAGGAAAAACCTAAAGAACAAGAACAAGAAAAGAAAGAAGAAAATGAAGAAAAAGAAGAACAACAAAGTCAACAAATTGAACTTCCTGAACCTAAATCTGATGTCGAAGATCAGGATATGGAAGAATCCGGAGAAGAATCAAATGAAATTTAATTTTTTTATCACATCTTGTTTTATTTTTTGAAGATTAAAAACAAAAATTATTATATAATATTTATGTGATTATACTAAGGGAAACAGATGGAAGTTACCATGGAAATCCGCCACAAATTACATTTTTAAGATGCTTTTATACTTCTAAGATAAAGCTAAATTTCTAGAATCAATTATCAGAAGCTTAGGGTGAAATTACAATTTTTTTTAACTTTAGAAGAGCCTAAACTCCCAAAATTTCGTCCTTTAGGTGACAAAAAAATTATTTAATGATTACATTGGTTACTTAATGACAAAAATAAAAATTGTAATTACAATAATAAAAAGTGACAATTTTGACAGAAACCGCCCTTAAAATTTTTAATGTCCGATCAAGACATTCATCCATATAAATACAGTGAATTGCGAAGTATCTTGAAGTGTTACAATGATTTATATTATTCATTGTATCAGTTAAAAACCGAAAAAGAAGAAGAATTAATTTACAAAATGATCAAGACAGAATTGATTGATTCAATGATTTGTCGTCCCCAAAATATTATAAAAGATATTTTAAATATCATTCCGTATAATAATCGCTATACAATGTCATACTTGGAACTTGCCAAGCGTATTTTTGATAATTATAATGTTACAGAGGTTAAAAATATTGAAAATATTTCGAACATCCTATTTTATAAGGAATATGGAATTGAATTAGACAAAATTGATGATTTCAGGGAAACTAAATCAGGAAATCTCGATATTCATTCAAAAGATACAATTTACAGAGCAATTATGTATAATGACATAGAAAAATTCATTTCATTCACAGAAAGAGAAGGATTTGATAAAGATAAAAAACTGAAAAGTTTATTATATCCATACACATGCATTGGATATTCATTTCTTGAATTATGTTGTTATCATGGAGCAGTTAATTGTTTCAAGTTTTTAAGAACAAAATTTGGCTCAGAAATAACTTATCAATGCCTTGAATTATCATTCTTAGGAGCAAATCGCGAGATCATGAGTGAATGTTTGAAATATCAGAAACCAAATAAAAAATGCATGAAATATGCAATCTTTTCACACAACATTGATTTTGTTACATTCTTGATGAATGAGTATAATATAGAGATTGATTTAGATTTTTGCAAACTTTATAATAATCTTGAATCATTTTTAGTTTATTTCGATCATACTAATCACATTAACGAATTATTTATTAATTCATCGATGTTCAACATTCCATCATTTTGCCAATATTTCCTTTCACATGGTGTTGATATCAATAAAAAAGATAAAGATGGAAACACAGCTCTTCATGTTGCAGCAATTAATAATAGTAAAGAAACAGCCGAATTTCTTATTTCACATGGCGCAAATATCAATGAAAAAGATCAATATTATAATAGACCGTCCGCTCTTCATAAAGCAGTAGAGTATGGTAGTAAAGAAATGGCCAAACTTCTTATTTTGTGTGGTGCAAATATCAATGAAAAAGATGAATATGAAAACACTGCTCTTCATTATGCCACAATATATAATAGAAGAGAAACAGCCGAAGTTCTTATTTCCAATGGTGCAAATATCACTAAAAAAGATTATAATAGACAAACTGCTCTTCATAAAGCAGCAATAAATAATAGAAAGGAAATTGCCGAACTTCTTATTTCACATGGTGCAAATATCAATGAAAAAGATATATATAAGCAAACCGCTCTTCATATAGCGGCACAGAATAATAGTAAAGAAACAGTTGAAATTCTTGTTTCACATGGTGCAAGTATCAATGAAAAAGATAACGATGGAAATACCCCTCTTCATATTGCAGCGCATAATAATTATAAAGAAATAGCCAAACTTCTTATATCACATGGTGCAAATATCAATGAAAAAAATAAATTTGGAATGACTACTCTTCATAATGCAGCAGAGTGTTATAATAAAGAAATGACAGAACTTCTTATTTCACATGGTGCAAATATCAATGAAAAAGATGAAAAAGGACAAACTGCTCTTCATATCGCAGCACGCATTAGTAAAGATGTGGCCGAACTTCTTATTTTACATGGTGCAAATATCAATGAAAAAGATGAATATGAAAACACTGCTCTTCATATTGCAGTGTTTAATGGATATAAAGATATAACCGGACTTCTTATTTCACATGGTGCAAATATCAATGAAAAAGATGAATATGGATATACCCCTCTTCATATTGCAGCCCACAATAATTATAAAGAAATAGCCAAATATCTTATTTCACATGGAGCCAATATCAATGAAAAAAATAAATTTGGAATGACCGCTCTTCACGAAGCAGCTCAGAAAAATAGTAAAGAAGTAGTTGAAATTCTTATTTCACATGGTGCAAATATCAATGAAATAGATAAAGAAGGACAAATTGCTTTTGATTTTGCAGCTCTTCACAATTATCATGAAATAATCTCACTTCTTATTTCAAATCGTGCTTTTTCTCCTATCCATACAAAGTTTAAATTTTAATCTATTTATAAATCAACAGTTATAAGATTTTTAACAGCACCAAGAATATTAGTACAATTTCGGGGTATTATTATTGTCGTCTGGCGGTTTTAGACGACAATGCGAATTTTCGAATAATAGAATTTTTAGCCAGATAAAGAGCTACTCCATATATCTTGCGAGTTTGCACACTATATATATAGATAGAATTGATGTTCTTCCTTTATTTAGGTACCAAAACATACTTGTAAAATCGCTTTTTTAGAAGATAATGATAGTTTTGTCACTTTTCCCAGACGACAATAAAACATCTTTAATTATTTCCGAATGAGGCAGTTCATTTCCGAAAATATCTCACACTCATAGTCAAAATTTTGAATCAAAGTCAGATGGGCGTAAGAAAACACTTAATATTTTAAAATCAAGTTGATTAAATTTAATAATAAGCAAAATTCTATAATATTTTTTATTAATTATGATTTGAAGCACCAGGAAGAGCTGCAGGGTCGAAAGTAACAGTTTTAGTCTTCTCTTCTTGTGTTTCTGTAGATTTTTCTTCCTCTTCAGTCTTCTTTTCTTCATCTGCCTTTTCTTCTTGTTCTTGTGGCTTTTCTTCTTCCTCTATCTTCTTTTCTTCTGGTGTTTCTGTCTTATTTTCTTCTTCTGGCTTTTCTTCCTCTTCGAATTTGTATTCAATGTCAAGAGGGAAGTAAATATGGCGCATTCTATCATAAACAACAACATCTCTTCGTTCAAACACAACAAATATAATTCTATCCGTCTTTTCACGGTTATTTGGATCTTCTAAAAATTTTCGAACAACTTTCAGTGCAATTGGGGTTGCATTCTCTATTGGATAGCCGTAAATTCCTGTAGATATGCAGCATAAACCTACTGATCTGATTTTTTTGCCGTCTATGCAGCTTAATGTAGATTCGTAAGCTTCTTGTAGTTTATCAGGTTGTTCACCAATTGGTCCAACGGTATGTATGCAGTATTTAGCAGGAAGATTGTATCCAAGAGTAACAGCGCACTTTCCTGTAGGGGTATATCCGATTTCTGAACATTCTCTTTCCATAGCTTCTCCTGCAGCACTGTGGAGCACTCCACAGATGCCACCACCTGGATAGAGATGAGAATTGGCCGCATTGACGACTGCGTCGCACTCTAATTTTACAGAATTTCCTCTCATCCAAAAAGAGATTTTCTCGTTGATTTCTGTATTAGGTTTGTATAAAGGTTCGAATTTTTCTGGTGGATTTGATTCAACAATCTCTGGGCCTTCTTTTGCCCATGTTGGTAATTTTTCAAGTGTCATGATGGTTGGATTAGTTGCTGATTTAAGTTCTTTTTCAGGACAATCTGGGATATGCAGTTTCCATTCTTTATTCTCATGTTCATCGTGAGATAATCCTTCTTCTTCCCCAAAATATTCTTCTTCATAAGAATTAGTTTCATTTTCATCTTCTTTTGGTTCTTTTTCGTCTTTGTTTTCTGTTTTTTCTTCGTGTTCCTCTTCTTCTTTCTGTTCTTTCTTTAAAAGTTCTTCAGACATCGAAAAATTTTTAGCCGGTTTTCCTGACCTAATAATCATAAAATCTTAGATTGTCCTATGTAAAAATTAATAGAGGCAAATTGTCTATTAATACAATAATTGAGGCAAAATATAACACTGAACATCAACCAATCAAATATTTTTGCAGAATGAAAAATTTGCCATCATTCCGAAGGTATATATTCTCAACAATGGAATTTCTTTATCAATGAAACTATTCAAAAAAAAAATACTGAAACATTCCAAATTCATTTGGTCAAAATTACTCCCAAAACCTTAGTAATCATTTCGGAACCATTTGAACACATTTCTGAGAGAGTTTCATACTTAATATCTTAAGTGGCAACTATATATGAAAAACCATTTTTCATGTAATAAAAATAGTTGTTTATTCATTCTTCAATTCGAATTTGTTCTTGATGATAAAATTATTTTGCACCCGATCGATTTAGAAGATCGACGATCTTTCTGTAGTTGTCATTCTCGTATTGTTTTTCTTTTGCCAAATCAAGTGCTGTTTTTCCACCATTGTCTTTATCATTAAGATTGACACCAATTGAAACTAAATATTCAACAACTTCAAAATGACCATTCTCTGCTGCCCAATGAAGTGAAGAACTGTTATAATCTGTTTTATCATTTTTATTACATCCACATTGAATAAGATATTTAACTACTTCAAGATGACCTTCTTGTGATGCAATAATTATTGGAGGGCATCCAGTATTTTCTCTTTCATTTGGATCAGCTCCAACTGAGAAAAGATATTTAACTGTTTCAAGATGGCCACTGCATGATGCAAGATAAATGCAACTTGCATTACAATTTGCTTTAGAGTTGACATCACAACCAATACTTTTCAAATATTTAACTGTATCTAGTTGACCTTCTTGTGATGCTAGAAGAATTGGATTATATCCAAGTTTAGATCGCCAATTCTTGTTAAAACCAATTCCAATTAAATATTTTACAATTTCAAGATGGCCATTGTATGATGCTAGAAGTAAACAATTATTTTCATTTTTAGTAACTGCATTTTTATCACAGCCTCCTTCAATAAGAGATTTTGTTAATTGTAAATCTCCTTTAACGCATGCATTAAGAAGTGGAGTCCATCCTTCTGGATTTTGAATTTCACTTAATCCAACTGCACATGAAATAGACATTTTCAATTTATCATCTTCTTCTGAAAGTTTTTTAAGGAAATTGTAAACTGCATCAAAATCTGAATTAGAGCATAATTCTAAAATCTTCCAAAAATCATTTTTGTACTCGTTGATTTCTTTTTCCATTATTGACAACTTTGATTCGAGATTTTGAATATCGTTTTTTAATTTTGTCATTTCTTTGGAATTAGATTGATTTTTTCCATTGTATTTCTCAAGGAAATCAATTAATGAGCGTGATGATTTGAGTTCGAAAAGATTGTTGTAGATTTGAAGAACGTTAATCGCATCTTCGAATGAATTAACGATAACATTGCATTTCCGAGAAAGTTCATACAGTGTGGTTGTATTATATTTTGATTTGCCTTGAGAAAGAAGTTTTCCGAAATCGTTTGAATTAAGATTTGTTTTTTCGAAAACTTGAGGAATGAATTCTTTATCAATCACATCATAAAAATTATCTCGATCAATATATGTCTGAACATTGTTCGCAATGTAGTTGATATCAAGAACAAGACTCATCTAAAAAAAAATCCCCTTTTTTCTGGAATAGAACCTTAAACATATAAAAATCGATATCCATCATGATTTTGACTAGTAGCTGACTTTTTATGAGGATAATAATAATGTTAAGTACACACTTGATAAGAGTACTTTATACCTCGTTCCATCTGGAACAAAACAAGTTTCAATCCTCTCACAAACTAAATATATCAGAGGAGAGTCAACAACATAATATGCATTTTACGACCGCAGAAACTCGATTTTATCGTTTTCTTTCTCATCCAACTCTCTACTCGAAGAGATTCGAGATTATGCATTTTTAGATTGCTCTCTTCTAACAGAAGTTGACCTCACACAGTGCAAACATCTAATACATATTGGAACACAATCATTTAAAGGATGCTCTTGTGTCACAAGCATCAAACTTCCATCAAGTGTTTCAACACTTGGAAATGCAGCTTTCATGAACACGAGCATTTCCCAAATTGATCTTCCAACATCGCTCACTAACATTCAGGTGTATTCCGCAAATATATCCACGGTGCTATAGAATGAAACAAATCGGATTCAAAAGTATACAAAAGTGATGATAATTTTCAAAAAATCTAAGGTCGATAAAAAATTGAGGGTTTTTTAAAGCCGCCGTTTGAGAGGAAAATTGAGAACCTCGATGTATACTTTTTGACATTGTCAAAAACTTTGAAAGGACCAAAAAATTTTTAGTGTCAGAAAGTTTACAGATGTATACTTTCTGACGAACAGACCCTCAGAAAGTTCTCAAACTGCGGTTTTTAATTTCCGTACTTTTTTTTGGTGACCTTATATTTGAAATGTTGAAATAAATAATAGCAGTTATAAAATAGTAAAATAAACTTTATTATTCATTAAAAATCATAACTTTTCTCTTTTTCATGTTCCATTACCTCTTTTTGTTTCTTTGCAGCTTCGACGTTCTTCTTTGCCTCATCTGCATAGTAGTTCAAGACGTCTGAGAGTGTTGGAATTTGTTTGAAGTCTTGACTCAAAGAATCATAAGAATTTGTCCTAACGTTAATGAACAAGAACCTTACAATGCATTCCTTTTCATTCTTAAGTGTATGGCAAAAGTTATCATGTTCCTTGAGGTTGCTGAAGTCTTTAATAACTTCGCATAAAGCAATCATGTTAAATTGGCGGTCAAGAGATGAAAACGTGTATCCATTACTCGATCCCCTCATGTATCTAAGGGATGTTTCTATTTGTCTGGCAAAATAAATGCCTTCGCCGTATGCAGCTCCATTTGCCATTATATTTGACTTGGAGAGGTTCTTGAGGCCATTCCTGAGAATAGAGTACCATCTATCCGCTGCTGAACCATGCCAAAGGTAAAAACTGCCATATTGGTCCTTCAATTTTTTGAATTCTTCTTCTCTTTCGGTACTTGAAATGAGAGTTAAGAATTGGAATTGAGCATTTATCTCTCTGATCCTTAATCCTTCGGGTAAAGCCAAAAAGTGGCTCTTATTTGTTAATAAAATCCATCTGATGAGATTGTAAGCGTCAACTCCAATGGATCTGCAAAGATCCGCATCTGTATCGAATCTGCCTAATGTATAAACGTCCGGAATTTTCTTAAAAATCTCTTTCATTTGAGATTCAGAAAATTTCGAAGGAGAAGGATTAAGGAAAGGGCCGATTGCTGTTGCAAAGACAGAGAAAAGTAGGTCTGCAACAATTGGATCACGTTTAATCTCTTGTAAAACGGTAGATCCGATTCCGATTTTTTCGAAAAGGTTTCTGCACGTTTCATCCTCGCAGATTGTGGGTTTGATTGTAGGTTCTTTAAGTTTCTTGCGGCAAATGCAGCAATGGTCGGTTAAATCTAAATATATATCTACAATTTCAAGGATGAGGTAAAGAACTGGACAGCTGCTGTATGTTAATAATGGATTTGATAAGGAAGAAGTGGTGGAAATGTCTTGGGGAAGGATTCCTGTTCGAAGTAAATTTATAGCGTATTCTAGGTTTCCATCTACTTGCTCCAGGGCAGCATTGGCTTGGTTCTCTGTGAAACCAAGGTTTGTGATCTCTTTTACCATTGAATTATCATATCGTTTTTGGGAAGCGAGAAGAAATGGCTTTGATCTGTAGCAATCTTTGATTTTAAAGTTTGGGGAAAAGAATTTTTCCATTAAATCTCTGACTAAGGCAATACCTGCAAAATTTTTTCCGAAAATTGGATTTTCTACTTCGAAGGACCGCGGGCGCTGATGCCAATCAAAATTGTTTAATCCGATCTTGATTTTTAAAAGAATAGGAGAGTTGTTAAGGCAAAGAATACTTTGTAATGAAAGTGGAAGAACATTTGTCAACAAATTTATGGTTGTTACAGAGGTAATATCGCTATAGCTAACTTCATTATATGGCCTAAATGCGTTATATGTGTTTAGGCCCATTTCAAACGCAGATTTAACTGGATCATAAGCACTTTCTGAAATAATAGGTATAAGTTCATCGGATGAGTCATCTTCTATTATTTCTTCCTCTTCTTCATATTCAACATATTCAACTTCTTCGTATTCAGTCATAAATATTAATGAAAAAAAAATTTTCAATAAAATTTTGCCAGTTGAGAAATTTCCAATAAGCGGTTTTACAGCTCTGAATATTTACAATCAGTTGTTATGTGATGGAAGTAATATTACAAAATAAAAAAGCAATAATTAAATTTCAATGGATAATACCCCCTTATTTTTCTCCAAATAGGGTGGAGAATTTAAATTTCATATGGCTATTTTATTTATTTAGTTCTTCTAAATGTCTCATAGTGAAAGTTCTTCAATACCTCAGCAAGTATCTTCGGATCAAGAGCAGGAATTCAATGAATTACGTAGCGAACTTCAAGAAACAGTAAACATTGTAATTAAGAACAACTTTGCTCACTTTAAAACTGTAACAGATAATTTAGTTGTTCTCGATAATGAGTTCCAGATTAAGTCTCAAATAATCTTCCGTGCCTATGATTTGCTGAAAAATAAACAGATTCCAGATAAAAAATTTAAAATTGTTTCAGATGGACTTGAACCGAATGATGCACAAGCTTTTAAATATGATAACATCATTAGTCAAGTTGTAAGTGATAAAGGCGCAAATTGGTTGCTCGCTTTATGCAAAGAAAAAAGAGATAGAGATTACATGTTTCAGACATTTCTTCCGGCGTTATTTGGAGGATATACAACAAAATCTCGTTGCCAGGCACGTAAAAAACTATTTGAAATCTTCAAATCTCAAGAGAATGTCAAAGATGAATATATCATTGATTTGATTTTTTCATTTTTCTTTTGGGAGCCAGGATTCATCAAGAATCTCCATCTCTTTATTAAAAACAGCCAATTCGCGTGGAATAATCAAACAGAATGCGTCAAAACTGTATTATCTGCTTACGAAAAAGCTCTTTCATTCTGTTCATCGTACTTGCATGAAATATTGTCAATCTATATTGATGATGAACCAAAATACGTCGAAATATTGAAGAAAATGCTTTTCCTTTCTGTTGATTACCTTTTTCCATTTGATCCAATCTATGCCAGACTCAAAGAAAGTCCAGAAGGATTACGCAGTATTTTAGAGATTGTTGATAATCTTAAAACATTCCTATCAGGAAGTGAAGGAGAAAATATTATAAATCAGAATGTCAAACTCGCTCTCAATGGTCTATCAACTGCAATTTTTGATAGCAAAGTCACTGGAGATATCATTCTTTCGAGATACGATTTCGCTCTTATTGCAAAACTCAATGGTAAGAAACTTTTCGAAGAATGTTTGGAAGAGAAAAATATCTTCAAAAGCAAATGTGCATTAATTCATGTTCCAACAACGAAAGAATTCGGACCACAAATCGGAATTGAGAATTATTCTGAAAGTTGGAAAAGAATTTATATGGAATCCAGACAAAATAAGACTGATTTCTTAAAGTCTATCGATGGTTTGTACTATATCGAAGAAAAGCCAAATTGGAATATGACCCATGTTTTTGATAATTTTTATATCAGAAAAAGAATATCCACAATTGAAAATGACACCGAAATGAAAAATTATAAAGAAGAATTGTCAAGAATCATCAGTATAATTAAAAATTATAAGGATTTCGAACAGAAAAGATCTGTAGAAGCATATGATCATTTGAAATCGATTCAGTGTGATCAGGAATTTATTCTTACTTATTATAAGAATGCATTGTCGAATCTTTCAATAACTGCACGCTTATTCTTCTGCAAATATACAGGCTACAAAATGCGCAAGGAACCAAAAAGAATTGTGTTTGATTATAGAATGAGTGATCAAATAGGTAAAATCCAGGATTATGCCAATGATTACTATCTTTATCAAAAAGAAAAATTTGTCAAAGAGAAGAAATAAATAAAACACAGTATTTTTCGACTATTTATTTTTGTGACCTAATAGTCTATCTATAAATAGAAAATTATGTTTGAGTAATCCTACATTCTGGGCAAACAAATTAAAGGAATTCCGCACGACTTTACTGTTAAACTTTTATAATATTCCAACTGATAATCTTTCTAGTGCATAAAGAATATAGAATCCAATGAAAATACTGAAGCTATTATAATGTGAGGAAAGTGTTTCCGATATTAATATATATGAATCTCCTTGTAATTCATCTCTTTGAATGTTCATGGATTTGATTATTGTGAAGAGAGCTACCTGGTATCATATACATTTTCCTTATAACCTGACTTCTATTATCAATTAGCTGAGTGATGTTGAGCTATTAGATTTAAGTGTGATCGATATTGTAAATCCATCATTTTGTATTAGCGCGATTTTAAGTTGTACTGATAGTACAATTGAAATTTCTTTACTTTAAGATCTCTCATCAATAGTTAATTTGAATTTAACTGTAACATAGATACAATTATCGAAATATGAAGATTAATAATTCAAAATGTGCAAATGAATAAGAAATTACATTGTATTATGAGATAAAGAATTCGCTACATAATTAAAAGCATTATATAACGTTTAAAGTAATTTATGGCATTATTTTTTAGGAATATCTAATGGTTGTTGATTTTGCTGCACTTCTATGATACATGTTAAGTTATTGTACTATATACAAGAAATAATGACTTAATGAGTAAACTAAAATGTATAATTTTATAATGAACCGTCAAATAGTATCTCTGGGAGATTTCACTTTCACGTCTTCATATACAATTTTAACATATCGTGCTTATAAATCAAAATCTACAGCGGGAATTTCCTTTTATTGGACGCTATTTTCATTTCTTTCAGGATTTTTTACTTTAATTGAAAAACCACTTATGCTTTTCGTAAGATTAGGAGGTCTATCAAGAATGATTTGCGTAGGTAGCGTGATATATATGCAAATTAAGTTTCCTCTTGCATCAAATAGATTTCGAGAATTAAAATTTATGTATTATTGCGCAATTTTAGGATTTATTTTACTAATTTCAACAATGTTCAGATTTCTTAGATTCATTGACCTGTCATTCTGGTGTGACGTTTTTGCAATTGCTTCTCAATCTAAAATCTTTCAGACATCTCGCAATATTACTAATTTTGATTGGTACTTTATATTACTTTACATGATATCTATCGGTTTTAGGCTTTTTTATGCATTCGCATATTCATTGATCTCTTTTGAGATTAATATGTGGGTCGATTTCTTTGCATGCTCATTTATATTTCTATACGCATTTGATTTCTTATATTTTTACATAGTATGTCTCATGAAGCCCAAAGAAGATATTCCTGAACAGCCAAATTAATGTCCATTATCGATTTGCATTAAATATCAAAATTGATGGCTTTATATGTTAATTTAATCATCATAAATTTTGATGAAATCAAAATCACTATGGAAATACCTGATTTCGGAGAATTTATATCGAAAATCTATATTAGTTATGTTGTTTGTAAAAGATTTTACTATCTAATCAGTGAGATTTTTAAAAATGAAATAATTTTTTAGGAATTTGTCGGCAATAGACAACTGATAACTATTGTCATGTCTAATTGTGTCAATAATCTTTGATTTCATCGTAGATTTTACTTAATAAAGAACAATCTTTTAAATTGTGATATGCATAACATTATAGGTGCCGAGGAGCTCTAATGACTGGTAAAAATTAAATTTTAGACAGAAGAACTCGGACACTTCATATCCTCTTCTGAGAATATTCAACACTTTAAAATCCTTGTTATCTAACCAAATTCTGATTGGCTATTCATGTAAAAAGTTTAAACAAATCAATTGGTAATGTCTATATTAATCGGAATTTCAAGTTGGTATATTTTATAATTCCATTCCGGTTAAAAGACTTGAGCAAAGGATTATCCGTTGGTACATAGATCTTAGTAACTCATCTATGATCCATGCTTACTTCAGAGTTGCTGTACTAGGGCCGGTCACTTTTTTTTGGCAGGTGTAAAAAAATGAAGATAAATGTTCATAATGTTCTAACGGGTAAAAGTGTAGTTATTGATTGTGAACCATCAGAAACAGTTGGTTCGTTAATCAATAGAGCTAAAGAATCATTTGGATATTTATCAAATCAAGTTGTTTATTTTCATGGCCAAGTTCAGCTCAACCTAGACTTCCCAATTTCTGCTTACAATATACCAGACGGTGGTATAGTTACTATTAATCGTAATAAAAACATGAATTATGCCGCAGCCGCACCTACACCAAATATCACTCCAATAACTCCTCCAAATCAAACATATTTAACGAATAATGTTGTTAATGTTACATCTTGGGTCGACCCTAATCAAAGTCATAACTATCAAATTCCTTGGTTAAACGAAAAATTGTTAAATCCGCCATCACCAAGTACATCTTACTTTCGCTTTACAACAACAACATTTCCTAAGATGCAATCGATGATAGAAGATCTTAAACTACCACTCGGCATAGCAATTCGTCCTGCAGATGTTTCAAACCAACCAATTTTTGATTATCAAAATATTCCTCTTCCAAGATGCAAAAATTGCAACTGTATGTTATGTCCACAAGTAACATTTACTCCTGACAATCAGAAATGGATATGTCTTGCATGCAAAACTCCAAATATTATTGATAATTCAATTATCAACATTTTTGAAGCTCCAGAACTTAAATCACAAGTGTATGATGTACTAGTACCTCCATTTACTATTTCAAAGAGAGATGGAGGGCCTGCTTTCGCTTTTGTTTTAGATATGTCGAGTTTAACAGCAAATGCAGGTTTTACAGAACAATTCATATGCAGCTTAAAGGCCTCATTAGATTCAATGCCTCAGAATGCCATTATTTACCTCATTACCGTTGGAAAAAATTTAACTTTCTTTGATTTAAGGAATCGCGAGGAAATAATAATGCCAGACCTTACAGAAACGAACATAAATGTTCCTTCCCAGCCAACTCTTTCCGAAATTCGAGAAGATTTGGATCAAATTTTAGATATGTTGCTTTACAGGCTTCATTTCGATACTCCTTCCACAGGGCATTGTTTAGGAAATGGTCTACAGCTCGCAACCAACGCTCTACGTAAAACTGGAGGAATTATCATCGCAGTTTTTGTAGGAGTTCCAGTAATAGGCCCATACTTTCTCAAAGACCGTCATTCTGCTGGTCCAAATGAAGAAGTTACTCTTCTCAAGCTCCCAACAGACCAAACTGGCATATTCTGGCGAAATTTAGCTCAAATTATCCGTACAAATGGCATTTCTCTTCATGCTTTCAACGCAGGGCCACAGTTTGCAGACTTAGCAACAGATGCCGTAACGACTGGCCTCATGAGCGGAACCGTTCATCATTATCATACATTTGATGACAGCAGTAGAGAGAAATTACATACGGATCTGTTCACTGTTTTGACGAAGGATTACTTGTGGAATGCAGAAACCGAAGTTAAATTGACCAGAGGAGCGTTTATCAGCCGACAATTAGGAAATTGTACAACAAAAAGCGGCGATAACACTGGAACATATTTCGGAGCATTAATGCCTGACGATAGTGTTGTTCTAGAACTTGATTACGAAGAAAGACTCCAGATAAATGAACTTTTCATTCAAGTCCAACTTTCATTCACCGACCTTCAAAAAGTGACACATATTCGAGTCTTTTCATTTTCGGTTCCAGTAACAACAGATTTAAATATTGTCAGACAGAATATAGACGAAATCAGTTTAATGTCTATAATCATCAGAAGGGCCGCGATGATGATTCTCGGGAAAGGGCGTCAGGACTGCGTCAACTACATTCAGAGTAATATGAAAGAGCTCATTAAGTCGAAAGCAGCCATTGTTTCCATTCCTTATTTGCTACATTCCTTATTATTCTCAGATTTAACACGAGAAAGGCATCCGGATGGAATAGATGGAAGACTGGCCATTATCATAAGGATCAGATCCATTGATATCATATCAGCAACGTTGTATTTGTATCCAAGATTATTTGCTCTACAAGAAGATGGTTCCTACAATGTTTTACCACTTAAAGGAAGTTCATTTGCGTATGGAACTGTTTTTGTCCTTCATATGATTGATAGAATTGTTGTTTGGGTTTCATTAGCTGCAAAACCCGAATTTCTGATGGATCTGTTCGATGTCGATGAACTTACCAAGATAAGTAATGAGATCCCTGTTAAAGAAAACCCACCAAACAAGGCTCTGCTGGAAATAATTGAAAATTCAAGAGTTTTGAGCAGATGCTACCTTCCTGTTTCGGTTATTCCGCAGGGTTCAAGCGATGAAGCAATTATTGGTCAATCTTTGTTCGATGATGATTCTGGAAATCGCCAAAGTTTTGAAGAATTTTCAAAATCTTATTAATTTTTTGTTATTTTATGTTATTAATTATAAATTTGTTTTTTGTTTTGTATCATATCACAATTTTCTGGATTGACTCTTTTTATATTTAATTTGAATTTCGATACTGAATCTTTTGACGACTTTGGGTGATTGGATAGTAAACTGCATTGAAATATATTAGGATTATCATCGTTCAAAATTGTTTTATAATAAACTTGAAAACTAACATCAATCAGAACTAACATTTTTATGTATGGTTACCGTTTTGGAATATTTTAATAAATTAAAACGAAATCTCTCTATTAATCAACTTAATGTTTATTCGTAAGTTAAAAATTTAATGTGTTTCATATTGTATCTCTGAATTATCACTAAATTCACCTGAGGCCCCTCGATATTAATTGATATATGAACCATGTGAAATAAGAAGTGTAAGCATTTCTTTATGATTTTGAGATTTTGCAATATGGAAAGCGGTTTTTCCAACTTTATCTTTTTCATTGATATTTGCACCATGTGAAATTAGGAGTGTGGCTGTTTCTTTACTATTATAACGTGCTGCATGATGAAGAGCGGTTTGCATAAATATATCTTTTTCATTGATATTTGCACCATGTGAAATGAAATATTCGCAAAGCCATGTGTAGCATCATTGGTTTTATCTAAATAAACTAAAAGGGATTCAACTTTATTATGTCTTGTGCAATACAATAAATCAATCCATATTTTGTATTCATTCACCCAGAATGTATCAAAATCAATGTTGTGTGAAATAATTGCATATTCCATGCAATATTCACTTGGTTTCTGATATTTCAAGTATTCACTTAAAATGAAAATTTAAGACATGTTTCAGTTATTTCTGAATTGAATTTTGTTCTTAATAACTATAAATAATCAACTACTCCGTGATGACAACATAATTCAAGTAATGATATATACTGCTTTGAAGTTTTTGATTTTTATCAAAACCATCTGTTTCGGTGAAGAAGGTGAATTTTTCTAAGTCATTATACAAAATTGCACGGTAAATTGTATTTTCGCTATCAATATGGAGATCTCCAAAAAAACATTCTGTTGAATGTGATAGACTTTTTTAAATTAATTCCATATTCTTCGTAAAATAGGAATGTTGGAGGGGATATCTTAAAAACCATGTTTAAGATACCATATATAGGTACGGGAAAAAGGTGTATCTCCCCAAAATATATTTTAAATGTCTTGAAAATTAAAATATTTAGAAAAGTTGACAAAATGAATTTTGATATAAGTATATGATTGAGTTAATTTGCACAAATAGCTTTTAAGTAATCCCATACATCACCTTTTGCAACCATTAGTGCAGTTTTTCCATAATTATTCATTGCTTTTTTATTAGCTCCAACTGAGATTAGATATTGAACAACATCAAGATGACCATTAATTGATGCATGAATGAGTGGAGTAGATCCAGATTCAGTCTTTGTTTCATTATTAGCTCCAACCGAGATAAGATATTGAACAACGTCAAGTTTACCATTTTGTGATGCCAAAGCGAGTGGAGTGCATCCAAGATCATTCTTTGCTTCTTTATTAGCTCCAGCTGAGATAAGATATTGAACAACGGCAAGTTGACCATCATATGATGCACATATGAGTGGAGTAGATCCAGAATTATCCTTTGCTTCTTTATCAGCACCAACTGAGATAAGATATTGAACAACATCAAGTTGACCATATTCTGATGCATGAATGAGTGGAGTATTTCTAAAAATGTGCTTTGTTTCTATATCACAACCACATTCCATTAGTGATTGTACAAGTCTGAAATTTCCGTTTTCAATTGCGAAATATAGAACATTCCTATTATAACCATATTTATCCTTGTTAGGAGTTATCTTTTGCCAAAGTCCTGCTTCGATTGATTTTGAAATCATTTCATGGTTTCCGTAAGAAGAAAGTTCATCAAGGAATTTGTAAACGGTTTGAAAATCATTAGATTTCTTAAGTTCTGTGATTTTTGTTAAAATATCTCGTGAATGATCGTTATTTTCATTTGTTACATTAATTATCTTATCTTTGTTCGAATTTTTATTTTCATTTTGATATGATTTGGATTTATCTTGAAATATTTCTGCATCGTACGTAGAAGGGTTTATTACTTTCTCATTATGTTTTAAAAAATCAATAATACCATCAAATATACTGAATTTCATGTATTTTTTGATAGATTTCAGAATTGAAACAATTTCTTCGAAGTTTTTGATAGTAACATTTGCATTTAGTGTACAAGTATATAGTTTTCTTGCGTTAATAGTTGATGAAGATTGTTTGAGAAGACAAACGTATTGATCAGCTGTCAATCGTGAATGTTTCATGATTGTTTTGATATCTTCGATATCAAATGTATCGAAGAAGTTTTCATTATTAATATAATCGCTTATATGAGCAGCAATGTATTCGAAATTTAGATCCATGTCCTGTTTCGATCAAAAAAAAATCTGAACAAAATTTTCTTCCAAAATTAATACTTTATTTATATTGTGCCAAGCTATTATATTGAGAACAAAGAATTTTTGTGATGTTTACACTATCGTCTATTGGGTACTCTTAATCAGAAACCATAAAAAAATCTTAAAAAAATATAAACAATAGATCTTTAATATTATTTTCCTTGCATCTTTGCCATAAGATACTTTTTAATCTCATCAGATTTTGCTTTCCTTATTGGGAATCCATCACCTCCTTTTGCTTTCACGTCAGCGCCATTTTCCACAAGTAATTTTACTAATTCAAAGTTACCTGACTGTGCAGCCAAATGCAAAGGAGTCAGCATCTGAGAGTCTTTAACATTAACTTTGGCTCCATTTGAAATCAATAGTTTACAAATGTCACTTTTTCCATTTTGAGTTGCAATTAAAAGTGGAGTTATTCTATATTCATCTTCTGCATTTACGTCCACACCCATTTTCAGCAAGTATTGGCATAACTGTATATCATTGATAAAACAAGCGAAATGAAGCAAATTTCTATTTTTCGCAGTAAATTTTTTATTTGAAGAATCTTTTCCTTCTCCATTTACTTTAACTTTTACATTTGCGCCTTTATTTATAAGTAGTTTTGCTACTTCTGGTTTAGAACTTTCTACTGCAAGCTGCAATGGTGTTTGATTCCAGTCATTTTCTGCATCAATGCTGGCACCTTTTTCCAATAAATATTCCGCGACATTTGTTGCTCCTGAAATCGCTGTTAAATGGAGAGGAGTGAACTTTCCATTGTTCTCTTCGTTTGGATTTGCACCGCTGTCAAGTAATGCCTTGATGATTTCGAGATTTCCGTTGGATGCTGCAATGTGAATTGGAAATTCACTGTTTGTTGGGACATTTACGTTCGCACCCTTGGAAATAAGGAACTCTACCATGTGTATATCATTAGTGTTGCATGCAATACTGATAAGAGGATATGCGTTCTTGTTAATTCGGTTATTCGGATCAAATTTGCCACGAATTGTGTAAATAAAGACTGGATAGTTGTGAGTTTCACATGCCATGTGTGTTAGTGGTGGTGTACAGTTGTATTTCTGTAATTCTTCGAATAAATCAAATCGAAATGAATCCATTGCGAAATTTAAGCAGTTTTCTGCACGAGATTTGTTGTTTGAGAGACACATATTAATAATTGTCTTGTTGCCACCTAAAACAGCGAACTTTATGTACTTATCAAAATCTGATACTTGAGATGCGATGCATTTGAAGATTTTTTCGGATCCGTAGAATGCGGCAGCTTCACCAAATGCAACAAGATCTTGTTCTATTGGTACTTCGAATGGTGACCATTTAAATGGTTTTTCAAAGTCTTCTGGTGACTGAATTCGAGCAGAAAATTGATCAACGAGATCGTGTTTCAGGATGTAACCGAATTGGCCCTTCTTAACTCCGTGCTTTGCAACTTCAATCCATTCTTTATAATCATCAGCGATGAGATCATCGTAAAACTTCATAAAATCGGCAAATGATGGATTAGAAAGCCAATCGCGATCGAGTTTGACAAATGGCTGTAAGAAAAACCTCGCATTTGAATCACTAACAGCTCTGTGCTTGATGTCTGTAAGAGATAGCATGCCTTTGATGAAAAGGAATACTAGTAGTTGCGGAGCGGCAGAGCCTGCAATGATTTTTGTTAAATTATTTGGATTACTTGTAAATGTTCCAATTTTGAAAAGCAAATCTGCATACAATTCTTGTGCTTGAGGTCTGTAGCGTGATATTGCTGATACATCTCTGACCAGAAGTAAATAGTCGAGTGTAGAATTGAGATTTTGTCCAATATATTTGCTTGTTTCATCTATACTCTGAGGAGATAAGCTTCCTAATTTCATTTGAATATCATAAAAGAGCTTTAGTTCACTTGGAACCTCTAATTCACTGAAAGAATGAAAATCTTTCTCCATTTTTTTAAAAAATGTAAAATAGATTTTACAATAAAATCCTAGTGACAAAAAATATATCTTATCCTGGTGTTGTTTTTTATATTTTTGGCCTCTTCCATTCAAATTCCAAAATCTGTAAAAGTGACAAAATGCTATCTCTATTATTTAGTTTTTCTCTTAGTGGCCAATTTGTTCCATTTGTTCCTGAGGAGACAATGATGCTTTTCAACTTAAATCTCACAGAAATTGCAAAATTGGTTCAAGAAGCTCCACGCGTTGTTGTTTATCTTCACGATAATGGTGTAACAGAATGTTTTCAATACAGAACAAAACTAGCTGATGCAATTAGATTGTTCCCTGATCTCGTTTTTATTCAATTAGACGTGAAAGACGCAGAAGGTATAATTGAACAATTAAACATCACAGCACCACATTTACTATTCTACAACAAAGGAGACTTATGGTCTCATTGCATTTTCCCAGCTTCTGAGACCGCATTGCTTTATCTTCTTAATTTGTTCGAAGAAGGCGAAAGACTTCCTGTTTCCTCCACAACAGAGTTCCTTAAAGCTCTCGGAACATCACACTACACACTCCTTTATCCAAAGGACGAAAAGAACAAGTCTACACATGCACATAGATTTGCAACGACAGTTATTGGCTTTATCGACTTACTGCCATTTACAAAAGAACTTGCTGATGAAATGGGATTGAACTACTCTCAAATGTACTTATTCAGACTCGAAGATGTCGCATTAATTCCAGTCGAAGATAATATTACAGAAATCATCGAGGCAACAATACCAGATTACAGCAGAATCTCTCCAGAAATGCTTACATCTGATCTTAGCCTCGTAGTTGGCGCCGTTGTTAACAGAGTTACTCCATCTGTTGTTGATTACCTCGAAAGAGTTTCGGAAGCAAAGATTGAAGGTGTTAAAGTTGGTTTCTTCGATCGAGCTCTTCATGAAGTCGTAAATATCTCAAATGGTCAGACAATTTCCGAATTTCCAACTGTTGTGACCTTCCAGAGCATTGTTCGTGAGTACTACGAGGTCCCAGAAGAGATAAATACCGAATTACGTAACGGAAATACGAAGAACGCTGCAGAACTCACTATTAATTTTCTGAATAATTTACCTGAAGCTAAGAAGCCAACAGAAGCTGTTCCAACCGAACAAACCGGACTAATAAAGAAACTCGTTGGCTCTACACATGACAAATTCGTTGCTACAGAAGGAAAAGATGTTATGGTTTTATACATCTCTCCAGATTCGATTCAGACGAGGGATTACATGAGGATATTTAGAGAAGCAGCGGAAATAATAGTTGAAAAAGGTCATGGAGACAAATTTGAATTTGGTATCATCAATACTACATTAAATGCGGCCGAAAACTATCCAACAATGATTGCCTTGCCTCACATACAAGTTTACCCTGTAAACAAGGCTAATAACAACTCTTTTTACGCACAGCCAACAAAAGAAGACATTCTGAGGTTCGTAAAGAGGAATTGTGGTAGTGAATATGATGATATTGAAGTTCCTGAAGCAACAAGAAACGAAAACTCTCTAGAAATCGTCCAAATTTACGCATTCTTGAGATCTCTTGATGAAGATGCTCGCAGAAAGGCAGATGATAGACTGAGAGAGTTACTCCCATCAATTAACATGACTCTGGAACAAATGAATGCTGCTGTTTTTGGAAATCAAACACAAACTGAATAAATAATTCATTATTTTCCAATCAAATCCATAAAATCTTTCTTTTGTTGATATGTAATTATAACGATATTAATCAAATTCATAAATTCATAATTAAAATTTCTTGAAATTAATTTAATTCTTTTAACATAGTGACTCGCATTCTTAGTGGCACTGAGATGTACTGATTACATCTTTGTATTGGAATCAAAAGCATATAATAAATTCAAATTATCTATACTACGATTATTTTTGATTCAAATGCTGTTCGGCATTAGAAGCAAAAATAATCATAATCTAGATAATTCCAATTTTATATACTTTTTGGGCGCTAAAGCGCCCGTAAAAAAAGTATAAAAATTGTTAATTTTAGTTATTCATTTATATATATTTATCATTAATATATCATTTAGTTATTAAATGTAAACCGACCATAGCTCAGTTGGAAGAGCATGGGACTGTAGAATTGTGGTTATCCCGGGGTCACTGGTTCGAATCCGGTTGGTCGGATTACTTTTTCTTTTTTATTGTTCTGAAGTTTAAAATGTTTTTTAGAATTGGGCACTATTAGATTAACTTACCTGTCAATAGTTGGATTGATTTTCAGAAAAAGAACTAAAATATGGGTTACAAGTGATATTCCTTATTACATTCGAAAAACCAATTTTCGGAGATAATTTTAAATGCCTTCAAAGCTGAAACTATGCATGAACTATCATTTTCAGACTCTTGGCAAAAAAAAGTCTGCGGAATTTATCGTTCAAGGCTTCCAAAAAAATTTAAGATGGAGCTTCCCCACCTGAAGATCTGCCTTGAGGATATAGAAGCAGAAGCCGGGGGCCGATACAAAGTCTTAAATATTATTGGAAGAGGCTCCTATGGAGTTGTTCTTTTGGCAATTGATAACCAAACTGGCAAGCACGTTGCCTTAAAGCAACTTCAGAGAATATTCACAACAGTTACAGACGCAAAGAGAGTGCTTCGTGAAATCAGAATCCTCTCTTCATTAAATAATGAAAATATCACAAACATTACAGACGTCGTAACATATCCCGATTATAGCAAATTTTCGACTCTTATAGTTGTTTCTGATATCATGGATACAGATTTATACAAATTACTGATTTCCAATGTCGATTTATCACTAGATTACCGCAAATATTTCGCATATCAAATTATTCGTGGCCTCAAGTATATACATTCTGCCAATATTCTTCACCGCGATCTGAAACCATCAAATATTTTAGTCAATTCTAATAGTGAATTGAAAATCACAGACTTTGGCTTAGCACGTGTTCTTGACCAAGAAGAAGGTGGCGAGCCACTATCTGAATATGTTACGACAAGATGGTATAGAGCTCCAGAGATTCTTTTGAATTACGGAACTTACGGTCCAGCTATAGACATATGGAGTACAGGCTGCATCCTTGCCGAAATAATTTTGAGAAGACCATTATTCCCTGGAAACGGAACCCTCCATCAACTACAGTTAATTCAAGATTTCCTTGGTTCACCAACCGAACAAGATCTCGAGCTTCTTACGAATCCAAAGGCTAGGCAGTTCATGGAATCCCTTCCTCCGAAGGATCCTGTTGATTGGCACCAAATTTTCACAAATTCACCAGAAGAAGAGATAGATTTGATTTCAAAGATGCTTACATGGGATCCTCGAAAGAGAATTACAGTATTAGATGCTCTCGAACACCCATTCCTTGATGAATATCATGATCCAGTCGATGAACCATCCGCTTTTCCAATGGATGGATTCGAATTTGATAGGGAGGACATTACCATGGAAGAAATCAGAGAAACGCTTTGGCGTGAAATTTTGCGTTTCCATCCTGAATTTGCAAAATAATCTTCTTGTAATTTATTATTTTTATTTTCCTCGAACAATTTCTGTTACTAATTAAAAATTATTTTTCCTGATTTTAAATTCAAATTTAGCCATCATTTTTTTCCCCATAATTTGAGAGACTATCAGAAATATAAATATTGAAAATAGTCGTTTAATGGATATAAAAAATCCTAAATCAAATCATAACCTTTCGCTGATTCAAACAAGTTTTAATTGAAACAATTTTGTGAGAAAACTGATTTAAATAACAAATAAGTTAATAATCTTATCCATATGATTTCTAGCATAATCAAATATTCCCATCGATTTATGTAAAGTTCTCAAACTGGCAAAAGATGCAATTGACTTTTCATGATTAATTTACTTTTAAATCGATGTCTAATTATAATCCTCTAATTGCGTTTTATGAAAATTTTTTCCACTAAATTCAATTAATCGAAAGCATTTTACCAAGTTGAAGTCTCCTTTTATTATAACGGGAATAACTAACCATGAACACTTTGAATACCTGAGTAGGTACAACAATGAGCCTCGGAAAGTAGGTGTTACAAATATCACAAATGTGATGAAGAATTTTAAATCAGAAGAAAAGTTTTTACAAACATGTAATGACATTAACCATAAATATGGAGAAGACTGGTACACCATGAGAACAAAAGATAATAATGCAAGATTCAAGCAATTTTTTAATTTTTTCAAATTTGTTTGTCAACATCAAGATCCTAGCAATAAAATGAAAGTAACTCGTGCACATAGTACACAATATGTTTTCTTTGTGTTTTTAACAAAATATAGAAATGAGCTCAATTCAATCCTAGATACTTTAAATATAATCACGCCAAAAGAAATTGAGAAAGTCTTAGCCCCTGAGGTTGCATATGATCAAGCATATGAAGACTACAAAGTCGAAGGTTTGTTCAATGCTGCCCAAAAATTAGCGAACAATCTTCATAGTATAGTTTTTACAGCTACCCTTTCGAATGATAAGACAATAATGATTGCTTTTAATAATGATTGTATTATAAATGACAAAAAATTTCTAAAGCATATTGATGAGCAACCCATTCTATCTAATAATATTCCTTGTAATGGAAGCGAATTTGATTATTTTACTTATTTCGAATAGTTCTTATTTTCTTTTATATTTTAACTGTGCAAAAGAGATTTTTTTATTTTATTTTTTATTATAAATGTGTTTCAGGGGATGAAATTAATTTGTTGGATCAATGTTTCGTATAACAAACAATTCAAGATGGAATACTTCATTCCACAAAATTATATGTCAATACATTGTAAGGAAATATATTACTTCTAACAGGATATGCTTCCTTATTCTAAGATAGGATATACTCCGCCTTTTAAGAACCAATATTTTCAACACTTTCATGAAAATTTAAGGGATCCTTGCTCCCATCATTTTCTCAGAAAATTGAGAGGAAAATTCTAATTGTTATTGTCCAAAACCAGAATGCATCCCCAGACCTCGAAAATTATTTGTTTTGGGTCAGAAACCGTCTCCTAAAACTCATCCTTACCTGATGATTTAGCGCCAAAAAGTATATAAAATAGGAATTCCTTGATTATGAATATTTTTGCTTCTAATACCGAATATAATTTAAATCAAAAATAATGGTAGAATAGATGATTTATATTTTATTGATGTTTATAAATGAGAATTAATTCTTTCGTAAATGCTTCTATCATGATTACATTGGTTGTTGTTTGAATAAGATCCATTGAGAAAAAGGTTTTTAAAGAAATTTAAGAATTGGAGAATATAATCATTTGTTTGAATTGAGCCATCTGGGTTCAATTGAATCAACTTTAGTGAGCCATCAACTCTTTCGAAATAAAATGTGGTTGGTTTATCTAAGTCATCACAATGGACTCCAACTAAAGGATCACTGTTGATTTTTCAACATAAACATTGAAATAATAACCACTTGTGAGATGATTTTCAATGAAACCTTTTTCTAATCTGCTAGAGAATTCGGAATATTTCGCTATGTTGTTGAATGTGTGGCTTAACGTTCTATCATAGAAACAATAATCAAAATTTAGATAAGGAGAAACATTTGGCAGAGCCGTTTCGTTATCGAATAATTCAGTAATTTGACTATACGAAGTTATTGTTTCATTTACTGTTGCATGCAAGAGAAAATAAATAGAGTCAACGTGTTTACTATATTTATTGGGTCTCCACACATCAGTAAAAGCAATTATTATAACATTTGAATATTTGGAAGGGTTGCTATTTATTGCATATAGAATTCGAAGAAAATTAAGTGAATCTTTTTCAATATTTTCTTTTTCGAAAAAGTTTGAATTTGAAAGGATATAACTTATTACTTCCTTGTGTATATTACGATTTATTACATATGTTCGATTTTTGATTGAACTTGATTCGAAGTTTGGAGCTTGCGAGAAAATGACACTCTTCATAAAAAATAAATAAAAATGACAAATTTTGAAATAGTTTAGTCGGTTTTTGCATTTTTAAAATGTTAGTCACCTTTCTCCTTCCAAAGTGAAAAAAAATTGTTTAAAATATAAAAAGAATTTTTATTCGCATAGGCGACAAACAAGGATTTATAAATAAATAATGGGGCTTTGAGTATTGATCTGAATTGAATCAGATAATTAGCCGTAAAAAATCTTCTAATAACGATTTCTCATGCATGAAAGATGGCTATGAGTGGCGTTAATGAGGGCGTTTGATAATTGGAGTTGGACATAAAATTTGGAGATCTTAATTTTTGAGAATTTTGGTGCGATCTTACTGGTACAAGCAAGAGTATGGAAGGAGATTGAACTGAAAAAAACTAGAGCATGCAAAAGAATCATGCTACAGCTTAGTTGAATGTCATTTATGCAAATAAAAATATCTTTTTCAAATTTCAAACAAATTTTTGCCACTTTTTGAAAGAAGATAAGGTAACAAACATTTTAAAATGCAAAACCTAGACTTAAACTATGCCGAAATGTGAGCTCACCGTTACGGTTTTTTCTTTTTTGGGGGGCTCGCAAGCTAAAAAATCTTTTGATAAAGTACTAAAAATAATTTAATTTCTTAATCACGAATTTGTGAAAAAACATCAATCAAACGAAGCGCTATTTGGATAGTTATTTTGTGGGTAAAAAAAGGTAGTGGGGCTTCCAGGCGCGTTGCGCCCTCTAGCCCATAAGAAATTTTTCCCAAGACCCAAGAGGAGGACCGAACCCCAGCCGACCAGCCGGTGACTTTTTTGTAGAGCACTCAAAATAGTATAACTTTGTCCGGACAAGCAAGGATCTATCGTCGCTACAGGAAAAGTTACAGGCGTTCCAAGGAAGTACTTTGAGAAGCCTTTTATCCCTTATAGAATGAGATAGGATGGTTATTTTACAAAACTGACAACACTTTGACAGAGTAGTTTTTTGTGCTGAACAAAAAGTGTCATATAAACATCTGTCAAAAACCGCTTTTTAACTTCACTTAAAATGCCACGTAAGCTACGTAAGAATATATGTAAGAGGAAGGGAGCATTGAAACATCCAATAGTAAAACTGACACCACAACAACAGTTGCAACAACAAATGATGAATGACCCCACTATGTTGCAACAAATGTCAAGCAACCCTATGCTTTTAAGCCGAGTTATTGGTGCACAGAGTGGAGGTTTAAGAGCGGCACTTTTAGCGAAAATGGCAGGCTATGGTGGAGCTGCAGACGGAACAGCTTATAACCCTCAAAGTCAAATGAATTTGAGTTCACTCAAAAATCAAATAACAGATGTCAAAAGTCAAACATAGACATACAGAAACAAATAAGTGAAAACGAAAAGAAACTAGAATATGACAGACACACAAAGAAACTCAATGAGTTAAACGTAGAGAAAAAGAAGAAAGAAGAAAACTGAAAGAACTAAGTACAGAGGAATATGCGAAAAAAAGTGTCAGAAAAAGCAGCAGAAGTAGCAAAAATGGAACAAGATGTTATTAAATTGAAAAAACCATACTACTCAATATAAAGTACTGAAAGATGAAGAAATAAAACAAAAAGCCCTGAAGACATATATGGATAGCGATGAGTATAAAAAAGAAGTTGAAGCAAATGTAAAGGCAGAAAAACTTTACAGTTGCAAACCAAACCGTACAGTATGAAAACTTAGCACAAGAAAGTAAAATAACGACGCAGCCATGCAAAAGGCAATGAAAAGCGCAGAATATATAAAAGCTAATAATGACTGGTTAGATGCCCAAGCCAACGCTAAAGCAGCCCAACTTATAGGGTCAATAAGGACAAAAATACAAGCGGATGAAGACAGTTCAAATGAAGCTTTAATGAATGCTGACTTTAAGAATGCCTTCGAAGCTCTTCATAGTAAGGTGAAACTAGTGAACGACTCTCATCTGGAAAGAAACTGAAGTCTGAAGGTTTCGACAACGAGTTAAGAGAAGTAGCACAAAATATGACGAAAATAACAGATGCAGCAACGAGACAGGGCAGTTCAAAGTGCCTATGACGCCGTTAGAGTAACTGTTGTGGAAAGTCAAGAAAAAGAGTTAACAGACCAAAACAGACCTAGTAAATGCTTTCTTAAGAACGAAAAGTCAGGTAGGACATTATGCTGCAGATGAACATATGTGCCAGCTGGTGGAACTTATTATACCACCAAACCCTCCAAGAGAAGCACCTGCACCAGGACTACCTAAAACATTTACATCGTCACATGGACACAGACACAGGCATGCACCAAAACCAACACAACAACCAACAGTTCAAAATCCAGCACCACAATAACAACCAAAGCCAACAGTTCAAAACCCAGCACAGCAACCAACAGTTCAAAACCCTGCACAACAACCAACAGTTCAAAATCCAGCACCACAACAACAACCAAAACCAACAGTTCAAAACCCTGCACCACAACCACCTCCACAACCAGCACAGCAACCACAAACAGAGCAAGGACATAAAAGAAGTAGAGAAAAAGGAAACCAAGAATTCTTAAAAATGC